AGAAATTGTCTAGTGTTACCCCAATGGGCAAGATGCATGCAGTTCCTAGACTGTCCTCCATCAACTAGCATTGTGATTAGTTGATATAAATCAGAAAAAAAAAAACAGGTTCATATTTGATCACAATGGCAAATTCCTCAGCAAATTTATGAAGATCTTCAGTGGCTTTGGGGAATTCTTTAGCCATGGTCCATAATTCAGCTTTTGACCAGGGACGGAAGGAAGTCTAGGCAACTCCTGCTTCCCCAGGCTTAACCTTAAATGGGGCAGCAAAAAAGGGAGGGGGTAAAGGGGAGCTTTAGGTCCCGTAGGATCTGAAGAGGGGTGAGGAGGGTCTCCAGCATAGAAGCGGAGTTGAGCTAAGGATGGATATAGAGGAAAAGGAGATGGTATAGTGCATGAGTGTGAAGGAAGGAGTTTATGAGGATTTGGCCTATTTTTCTAATTTTGAAAGCCTCTTGGAAAGATCTGAATTGGAAGCTAACTGCTGTGAGGGAAGCAAATTTCTGTTTTTCATTTTAAGGCCTCTAGATACCAATTAAAAGAAGTTTTCTACTGGCTTTGTTTTTTTGGCTTTATAGCCTTTTTCCAATTGTGCATGCAAGTGAGCTAATTTTTACTCCATCTTTAGCCAGTGGAGTTTTTTTTTTTAAGGTTTTATTTATTTGAAAGAGAGAGGGAGGCAGAGCACAAGCAGGTGGAGAGGCAGAGGAAGAGGGAGAAGCAGACTCCCTGCCCAGCTGGAAGCCTGACATGGGATTCTATCCCAGGACCTGGAGATGATGGCCCAAGCTGAAGGCAGACCCTTAACCATCTAAGCCACCAGGCACCCTGCCAGTGTAGTTTTAAAAATCACCCAAAGCAATAAGAATCCAACAGGACAAGAATTTACAGTAGGAAGGACAATATTCTTTAAACCTAAAACCTGCAGGAGTCCCAGAAGAGGGTTGGTCATAAAAGCCTTTCTTAGAAGCAGGATTTCCCATGAAGTAGTACTCAGAAGACTACTAAACAGGAATCTTCCACTAGGAAACATGAGGACAGAATCCTCTCCTCAAATATGAGTGAGGATGGAAGCCAGCAAGACAGAACACCCAGCTAAAGGCCTGAACCGGAGGGAGGTTCAGGACGGAGAGGACTTAACCACCATGACTCAAAGCCACTGAAGAGACAAGTGAAATAGACTCTTATAGGTACCCACTCAAATCCACAACGGTGCTGGAGATGGTGACTGGTCACTCCTGATGCCACGTAATAACTGAAAGGCAGAACTGCAATCTGCAAAATAAAATTGGTACGTTTACTGCAGGTCTTAGGGTTTGCAATCTGGGAGACACAGAGTTAACTGAAATCAAAATTGTGCTCCAGGGCACCTGGGTGGCTCAGTCGTTAAGGTCTGCCTTCGGCTCAGGTCATGTTTCCAGGGTCCTGGGATCAAGCTCTGCATCGGGCGCCTGCTTGGTGGGAAGTCTGCTTCTTCCTCTCCCACTCCTCCTACTTATGTTTCCTCTCTCTCTCTGTTAAATAAATAAAATCTTTTTTTTTTTTTAATGTGTGTTCTGGAGAGACAAAGCTAAAGGTTTTTAAGGAGGAAAGAGGGAATTTACATAAGTTGTCTTAAATGAAATGTGACTGGTTGTTAAGAGTAGTGCCAGGAAGAAAGTCCATTTATGTTCGTGTTTTTTAAAGATTATATTTATTTATTTATTTTAGAGAGAGCATGTGCCCACGTGTGAGCAGGGTGTGGGAGGGTCAGAGGGAGAGAGAATCTTAAGCAGGCTCCATGCCCCCAATGCAGGGTTTGATCTCATGACGCTGAGATCATGACCTGAGCCAAAATCAAGAGCCAGACACTTAACCAAAGGAACCACCCGCATGCCCCCATATATGTTCAATTTGAACAAGCAGCAGACGCCTTGGCTTTTAGCTGAAGTCAGTGACAGTTCTGGGAGCCTGAGACAGAAAATATAAGTCCCACTTTTTCAGTGTCCTCCTGGCTCCATTTTAAATAACCCTCTTAGCAATGTTTACTCCATTTTATTCTGTAATCAAATGGAAGAACTTACATTCTTCCAGTGACTATCTGTATTCCTTCTCTTATTCTGAGTCCTTTTAAGAAGCAATATAAAGTAGTAATAAAATAATGTGAATTCATTGTAAAATCTGAGTTTAGCTTTGCCACCAATTGGTTGTGGTTTTAAGTCATTTATATTTCTTGGATCTTAGCTGCATCACTAAGGAGAGAAGATAGGATTAGTGGACTTCTAAAAGACCTCTTTCTGTTCACATAGGACTTGTATGGTTAATTTTTAAATTACAAGTAGATTATGTGCCTCTCCACAAATGTAGCAATAAACCATTACAGAAGGAAATTGTGGACAGTGTGTTTGTTTGGGCACTATGCTCAAAAAGCACACAGGAGGGGCACCTGGGTGGCTCAGTGGGTTAAGCCTCTGCCTTCGGCTCAGGTCATGATCTCAGGGTCCTGGGCTTTCTGCTCAGCAGGGAACCTGTTTCCTCCTCTGTCTCTGTCTGCCTCTCTGCCTACTTATGATCTCTCTCTCTATCAAATAAAATCTTAAAAGAAAACACACACACACACACACACAAGGAGCTAATTTTAGGAGGGGAAATGGGAATATGGATTCAGAGAAATCTTTTTTTTTTTAAAGATTTTGTTTATTCATTTGTCAGAGAGAGATAAAGAGAAGCAGGCTCCCAGTTGAGCAAAGAGCCCAATGCAGGACTTGATCCCAGGACCCTGGGATCATGACCCAAGCTGAAGGCAGATACTTAACCCACTGAGCCACCCAGGTACCCTGGATTCAGAAAAATTTAAACTTGGATAGCAGTGAAGCTGCTGATCAAGCTCATATCTTCTCAGTGAAGCCGGAATCAAGGTCACTGACCATGAAGACTTTGGGGAGTGTTTGAAATTTCAACATACTAGAAAAGATTGGGATAAGCCACAGTGAGATATTTTCGAGGGTCCTGGAATTGAGTACCACATTGGGCTCCTTGCTCAGCAGAGAGCCTGCTTCTCTCTCTGCCACTCCCCCTGTTGGTGCCCGCTCTGACAAAATATTTACAAAATAATAATAAAATTATTTATTCTGGGGATCTAATGAACAGCATGGTGATTGTAAAGTTGCCAAGAGATCTTAAAAAGTCCCCCCCACACACAGGTAACTGCGTAGTGGTGATGCATGTTATCTAACTCTACTGTGGTAATCAAATCCTTAGATGTACATTTATCTCTGATGTATGTATATCAAATCATATGGTACACCTTAAACTTAGACCACGTTACATGTCAATTACATCTCAGTAAATCTGGGGAAAAAATTAAATAGTAATAGCCTTCCTCTCCCTGGTGAGGGGGAGAGAAACTCTTTACCAATAGAAATTTCCTTTATGAGAGAAAGCTTGTGTCATTTTTGGAACCTTTCTTATGTTGGCTGGTTCTCAACGGCCTTTAGCTTAGAACAGTCCCTGTTCCAAAGAGACATACTTTGGGGTGGTATATTCTGGAACCTGTTCTGGAACCTGTCACCCCCATCAGATGCTCTCTCTGGCCTAGTACTGTATTTTAACCTCCCACCTTTATTCTTATAACATTTCATACAAGTGGTTTGCCTCAGCCATTTCAGAAGACATAACTATTTTATACACAGTAGCACCTCTTTTTGGATGCTAGACAATGAAGGCTGAAGTAGAAAGATTCTAATTTGCATTAATGTCCATTCATTTAAGCATTCTATCAGTACAATCTCTTTTCAAGGTTATACAGTAAAGAAATTAAACTGCTTAATAGTTCTTTAAAAAAATTAGATATTTTTAAAAGACCAGGAGTTACGAGGGATTCCACAGGGGGAATGAGATGAATTGGTAGAAACAGGAATATTTTTTTTAGGGCAGTAGAACTCTGCTATATGATAATGTAATAGTGGATACATATCCTTATGTATTTGTGAAAATCCAAAGAAATACACCGCAAATGTTGAACTGCACTGTAAACTGTGGACTTCATTACCCCTTGTAACAAATGGACCACAGTAATGCAAACTGTTAGTAATAGAGGAAACTAGAAAGTGGGAGTAGGTGAGGGATTATCTGTGAACACTGTACTTTCTAGTCATTTTTTTATAAACCTAAAACTACTCAGAAAAATAGTCTACTATTTATTTGAGAGAGACTCCATGAGTGGAGGGAGAAGCAGACTCCCTGCTAAGCAGGGAGCCTTATGTGGGACTCAATCCCAGGACCCTGGGATCAAAAACTTAAGCTGAAGTCAGACACCGAACTGACTGAGCCACCCAGGTGCCCCCACCTCTGTATCTTTTTGTAGCCTGATTGTTCATTTATTTTATTCCATTTACATTCCATTGTCTGGAGGTACCACCATTCATTTATCCATTCACCTACTGAAGGACATCTTGGTTGCTTCCATGTTTTGGCAATTAGGAATAAAGGTGCTGTAAACATTTGTGTACAGGCTTCTGTGCAGACAGGTTTTCAACTCCCTAGGGTAAATACCAACAAGTACAATCGCTGGATCTTACGGTAAGAGGATGTTTACTTTTGGATACCTGGGTGGCTCAGTCAGTTAAGCGTCTGCCTTCAGCTCAGATCATGATCCCAGGGTCCTGGAATCGAGCCCCACATCAGGCTCTCTGCTGAGGGGGAAGTCTGCTTCTCCCTCTGCCCTCCCCGAACTCATGCTCTCTCTCAAATAAAAAAATAAAACCTTTGTAAAAGGTTTTGTATGAGAACTGTCTTCTAAAGTGGCACTGAGCATCGCCACTGGGAATGAACAAGAGTTCCTGCTGTGCCACAGCCTCACCAGCATTTGGTGTTAAGGACTTATTATGAGGATTTGCTTTCTAATTAAGTCTTAGAAGTTAAGTACAATCAATTTTCAACAGCAGAACAACAAAGGTGTTCATGCTATATAAAGAAAAACTACTCTGTCCTCTCATTTTTCCATTTTTATTTTCCAGAAGTGAGAAGTGGTTTTTTACCTGAAGTTAGGGGCACAGTTCATCTTGCTACCATGATGGCCACCAGCCCTGCCTCAGCAGAGAACGGTCATGAAAATAATCAGGAACTCTGAACTTCTGAGCGTCTGAGACTTCAGCAAGCAAAAAATCCTCCATTTATTTAACATGGCATATTATTTAAGGCCTTCCTGAAACTATGTGTACATTCATAGTGGTGATCACTGCAGAGAAGTGAAGAATTCAGAACCTGACCGCAAGTTCAAGATGAGCTGCAAGGAAAAAAAATTCAAAGACCTTGGAACAGAATTCCAGCAACATCAGACCAAAGTAATGAAGCTACATAGACCCATTGTCTTGTCACATTGAGTTCGATGGTAGAAAATAATCTAGAGGTGCCTGGGGTAGCTCAGTCATTTTAACTGTCCGACTCGTGGTTTTGGCTCAGGTCGTAATCTCAGGGCGGTAGCATCAAGGCCCACAGGGCTCTGCACTCAGTGGGGAGTCTGCTGGCGGTTCTTCTCCCTTAGTTCCTGTCCGCTGCACCTCCCCCCCACCCTCGTGCACACACTCTGTCTCAAAATAAATAAATCTTTTTTAAAAAAAGAAAATGATCTTGTCAGAAGGAAAATGTGACCACAAGCAGACTTACTGGCAATTACACATTTTAGTTTCAGTAACTCTATAAAGTTTTTTCAAAACAACGTATCTTTTTCAGGTGGGGAAAAAGCTCATTAAGTTGCCCTGGATATTGTGACAGAATATGTTATAGAAGCAAAACCGTTGAGAGGAAATTGTCATGATGATTTGAAAAATTGGGTCCATGGTATTTCCTTGCAAAAAGAAAAGGTAGGTTGGTATGTAAAGTTATCTATGCCAAAATATCCCATTACACTTAAAAAATCTTTATTAAGAGATCTAAGCTTTAAAACTGATTAAATCCAAGACATTCCATCAGTCATTTAAATTTCTAGAGTTTGGTAACTCTTATGTAAGTAGAGTTCTGATTTCAAACTACTTTTCCTAACTACATTATGGAGTTCCAACGAGGATCAAAAATGCGGAAAAATTTTTGATAAGTTGTAATGTTACCTATTATAATGTTATTGGTATTAGAAAACAGCTCAGTCCCCACTGCTCTAAGACAGACTCTTGGTGCTCCACTCCCGTAGGATCAGCCTTGTTTTATCTATATGTGAACCAACTAGTCTAACAGTCCAAGGATTCTCCTTTGCATAGGTTTATCATGAAATCTAGGTTTTCATTATTTTGCAGTACTATTTCACAAGGCCTTTGATAAGGAGGCCAACTCTCTCAGTATCAGAGTGCTAGCAGAACTAGTCATTGTGTAGTGTTTGAAGTGCTCATCAAATATCAAACATCAAGTATCTATACAACTCCTCTGCAAGTACTGTGACGTCACTGAACGCTGATAAATTAATATGCAGTATATAATCTATAAAAAGTATATAATCTATAAAAAGTCACAACTGTTTACTGCTATGCACTCTGGGCTGCATATTCTATTAAAAGTATTTAAACACTGAATTATTCATAATATAGGAACATGGACTTGGATTTGGAGGTTGCTCATAAATTCCAGACCTCTCCACTACACCCATAGGCAGATAGAGGGCCCTCCCAGCACCAGCTCTCCCAGCACCACTTCTGCCCATAGGAATTGTTCCTCCTCTTCCAACTCTTTTACCTCTACTAACTTGTAATATTATACCCACCACCATCACCTTTGTTCAGGGATGTCCTGCTCCACAGTCATACTGTCTGCTCTAAATTATGAAATGAAGCAGAAATAAATATATAAACCTGAACTCCATGTACTGATTCTTGAAACAGCAGCAACAGATTCTCTAGAGAGTCAAATAATCAAAGGCAAAAACCCTGACTAGAGGTTTTCCCACAGAGTCAAATGACCTAAGGGCACCTTCTAGGCACTGGTTGTCATTATTTGCACATTAACTGCATAGGTGTGCACAAGTATGGTATAATGTTAAAAGAATGTCACTGCTGACTCTTTACCTTTCCTTTGTGAACTCACCACCTTATTTATCTAAATAATTGGAAACCCCACAGGGAATATGAAATTCATGTAGAAGATACAAGGGAATTAAAGTGGTATAAGGATAATTGTATTAGTTTCTTAGGGCTGCCATAACAAATTACCACAAACTAAGAGGTTTGTAACAACAAAAATTTCTCTCTCACAGTTTTGGGGGGCCAAAGTCCACAATCGAAATATTGGTAGGGCTATACTCCACGGAGGCTACAGGAGACCATTTTTTTCTTGGCTTTACCTTCCAGAACTTTTGGTATCCCTTGGTTCATGGCCACATATCTCTGTTCTGTTTTCACAGTGCCTTCTCTTCCTCATGTCTATGTGTACACTTTCCTCTGCCATAAGCAGAGATGGCAAACACAAGTGATGTCGGCATATTGATCTTAACATTCTGCACCTTTGTGCCAAGTTCATTTAGTGTGTGTATGTATTCTTGGGATACTTCATGTTATCTGCAAAAAGACATTCCAATTTGGACGGCTTTTATTTTTCTCACCTAATTTTGCTATAGCTAGAATTTGGAAGGGGCAATCATGGGCACCCTTCTCTTCCTCATGGGAATGATGTTAGTCTTTCACCATTGAGTATGACATTGGCTATGGGGTTTTCACATATGCCCTTTATTGTGCTGCAGAAGTTCCTATTTTTGTTGTTCTCATAAAAGGGTATTTTGTCAAGGAGTTATTCTGCATCAATAGAAATGATCAGGGGCCCCTGGGTGGCTCAGTGGGTTAGGTCTCTGCCTTCGGCTCAGGTCATGATCTCAGTGTCCTGGGATCGAGCCCTGCATCAGGCTCTCTGCTCAGCAAGGAGCCTACCTTCCCCTCTCTCTCTGCCAGCCTCTCTACTTGTTATCTCTGTCAAATAAATAAATAAAGTATTTTTTAAAAAAAATGATCATGTGGGTTTTCACCTCCATTCTATTTATGTGTATATTACACTGATTAATTTCCTCATGCTATCCACCCTTGCATTCCTGGGTAAAACTCACTTGTTCCTGGTATATAATCTTTAAATATGCTTGGACTATGTTTGCTAGCATTTTGCTGAAGACTTTTGTGTATAGTCAGACAATACATTGGTCTGCAGTTCTCTTGTGTTATTTCTGCCTGGCTTTGGTACCAGGGTAATGCTGGTCTCAAAGAATGACACAGGATATTAAGACAATTAATCTTGTATGTTAATGTGGCTAAGCCATGGCACCTAGATATTTCATCCAGCACCAGTCTAAATTATGAAGTAAAGGTATTTTTAGATGAAATTAATATTTCAGTCATCAAATCAGATTACTATCTACAAGACAGGTGGGCTTTATCCAATCAGTTGAAGGTCGTACAAGGAAAATGACAGAAGTCCCACAAGGAAGACAGAATTCTACCTCCTCTCTGCTGTAACACTCCTATCTCATGGATCTCCAATTTTAGTATATGTGCTGCCGAAGCGAGCACCCTATCTCATGGATCTCAAGCATGCCAGCCTACCATGCAGATTTTGTACTTCTCAGCCTCAACTACCACATGAGCCAATCTCATAAAATAAATCTCTCTCTCTATCTGGCTTCATTTCTCTGAAGGACCCTAATACAGATGTGTTCCTGATTTATTAGAAGATTTGAGGATTAGTGCCAATTCCTCTTTAAGTGGTAAAATTTCCCAGTGATGACATCTTGTCCTGGAATGGTATGTGATAAGAGATTTTTAACTGCTTAATCAAAATATGGAACTGCTACAGGTCTATTAAGATCATCTATACCTTCTTGAGTCAGTTTTGGGTAACCTATATGTTTCTACTAATTTCACCTTATTATTTGTTAGGTACAGTTGTTCATAATACAATCCAATCACCCATCTGATTTCTCTGGCATAGAGAGACCACAATTTCCCCCTGCCTTACATTTTTAACTTCAGTTATTTCTATTTTCTCCATTCAGTCTAAAGATCAATTTAATCAATCTTTTCAAAAAACTGTTGTTTAGTTTCCTTCTCCTATTCTGTATTTCCTTTATCCCTACCTTATTTCTGCTTTTGCTTTGTGTTAGTTTGCTGATCTTCTGATTTTTAAGATTAGAAGTCAGCAGGTTGTTGATTTAAGGTCCCCTCTTTTTTAAAAATACATGTTCATACAATTCACTTCTTTCAAGTGAACAATTCAATGGTTTTTAGCATATTCAGAGTTGTATACACATCAGCAAAATCAATTTTATAACATTTTCATCATGACAGAAAGAACCCCTCCGTCCCAAACTCATTACCAGGTTTCCCCATTTCCACCAGCCCAATTTTATCACCAAACGACATGAACATTTCAAGCCCTAAACACTGGCTCACAATGATGAAGGCCATTTTTCTTTGGAACTGCCTTGCAAGCTCTATCAGCCGAAGGCGTATTTTCTTCTAGGTACCACTATCTCTGCCTAACTTACCTAATAAGCTTTAAAATAAGACCTGCACCCCTAGTCCCCTATCAATGGCATATCCTGACCCAAAGAATTCAGAGTCCTATATCCTTAGGATCCTCCTCTACAAATCGATCCTCAACTGACCAGCAGCTCATGTGACATGTGGGGAAATGGGCACCAACTTTCTCCTCTCTGGCCCAAACAGATGCACCACATTGACTTTCTGGTGATAAAGGCATTTACTCTAGGATGTGGCTGACTTACGGTTTGACAAACTGATTTCTTCTGGGTGGACACTGACATTGGAAAATGTATTCCGGTCACACACACTTGAACTCTGGTAAACAGATACCTGTACGCAGCCTCAGAGCCACTCCTGTCATAGAAGAGGAAGAAAAGAGAAATCTAATGTCCAAAGAGAAGAGACACATGAAATAACTTCTGTTCCTACCCGCCACAGGCATCCTACCCAGGTAGTTTCTTTCTTTTCTTAGAAACTAAGAAACAAACAGGGGGTGCCTGGATGGCTCAGTCAGTGCAGTGTCTGCCTTCGGTTCAGGTCATGATCCCAGGGTCCTGCGATCAGCCCCAGGTCGGACTCCCTGCTCAGCAGGGAGTCTGCTTCTCCCTCTTCCCCTGCTGCTTCTCCAGCTTGTGCTCACTCTGGCTCTCTTTAAAAAGAAAAGGACAGGTTCAAGCA